CAAATAATAATAAGAGCGCTTAATTGCAATCATTCAGTGTCGCCGCCAACAGAATTTATTTGCCAAGACAATATTTATTATAGAAGTCCATTATTGATTTTTGCTTTGGGAAATCGACATATCGAACTACGCGACAAATAAACGGCAGTTAAACATTTCCGTTTGCCAGATTTATGAATTATCATCAACTTAAACACTTATACAGATAAATATAATGAATATTATATTATATTATATTTTGAGTGCTTCCCCTTCAGCATATTTAAGAAAAAAATTATATTTAATATATCAAGAAAGACATAATGAACGCATAATATTTGGCTATATTTATATATTTTAATATATAAAATTTATATATATATATATATATATATATATATATATATATATATATATATATATATATATATATATATATATATATATATATATATATATATATATATATATATATATATATATATATATATATATATATATATATATAATTTTATATTTTAAATGTCTTCATTTAATAGAATTTTTTCGGAGTGCGCAGAGCAGAATGAATATTTTTATTCTATTGGAATAAATAATTAATTTTTTTAACTGCAACATTTTTAACATTTTCTAAATCTCTAAAAATTTATCAAACAAAACTTCAGTTTGAAGATCCTTGTTGAGATTGAAACCTTTCAAATATCAACTCATTTATCAATTATTTATTTTTTACAATTGCATAAAAATATATATATATTATTATATATAATATATTTTCTATTTAGTTTCTTTACATGGCACATAAGAATAATGTGTCATGTTTGCTCTTAAAATAAATATGAATATACGAATAAATGTTTCACTATATCTTTTTTATGAATTACGTTCAGGATTTTTTATACCCTGAACTCATTAGAAATGAGAAATCAATGTATAATGGATTTGTTTAGATGTATTTACCAGGCAGAAGAAGGCGTGGCAGTCTCCATAGACTGTATGATATGTATGATCAAGACGACCCTGTTCGCCTGTCCGTCGATCTCACCTATAAGAGCTAGAGTTTGAAATCCTAATATTTTATATACCAGCTCCAAATATTCCAAAATTCTTTAATTCTTTGCTAATATAAGAAATATATGTAAAACCGTTTACAAACCAATTGGCAAAAGCACGTGGCAAGCAGAGCCAAGCGTACGCATTTTTTTATAAAGACGCAGACACACAATCAACTGCGCTTGGTTTTTTCTATTCGGTCATCACAAGTGCCGCTAATAAGCGCCGGTGTTGGTAGAGGCGATGTGTGTCGTTGAAGACCTGTGAGTTCCACTTCTGGCGACAATAAACTTATTTTTTTAATATATTTTAAAACGCAGTTTGCTCGGAATTCAGAGACTAGAAGTTTTTTACTTGTTTGTTATACTAATCGAAGTTTTCAGTTCTTTCGAAATCAAAATTGATTTCCAATAAAATGTTTTTTATTACAGCTTATGAGCCTGTAGATAGACTATTATGGAAAGCAATTTATCATTATTTTATTATTATGCAAAGAAATTTAATACTTTAAATACCTTTCAAGCATACAATTTTTTCTTTTATGATTGCAAAATAAGACTATCAAACACTTTTAAAAAGAGAATACAATTTAGATTTGCTCGAGAAGAAGTAGTACAAGTAGATATATACTATATCTATGTATATAATGAGTGTGTTGAATTATTTTATTGTCAACAACAGAAGGAAGAAGTCTTGCGTTGTTATTAGCAATGCTCATAAGTAACTTTTCATGTTACACATTTTCACTTTTCGAAAAAACAAAAACAAAAAATATAAACAAATTAAAGTTTTCCACAATCACACTACAAAAAATACGAGTATACGAAAGGTACATTTATCTCATATACATATTCAAAAACGTAAGAGCCAGAAATTCCTGCAAAACTCGTAGTTAGTGTTGGTCGCCAGGTATCTATTCATAGGTATAGTATTGCATGCTACCAGACAGATTTCGACTGGAATTTTGATGCTGGCTAAAAAGTCATAAATATGCCAAACCAGGAAACTGGAAGTTTTCCCCATGCTAGACAGTGAGGTAGGCGTTGCTGGCACGACCGACTGCAACTCAATTTATTATAGAATTCTTGTATTTGTAAACAAGATTTTGGGCGGTCATAAAAAGGTTTTTGCAACATAACTTTTAAGTGCTAGAATCCGCACACAATTAACACGTTTACATTAATTAAAAGTGGGAAAATACATTTGCTATAACTGCTATAACTCTATTATTTAAGCTGCTACAGACTTGAAAATTGGATTAACACTCCAAGGTCAAACTGTATATTCCAATGTTTTTGAGCTACTCTCACTGTTAAAATCGACGGATTGAACGACTCCCATTAGGGAGTGGCAAATCGAATAGTTACGTTATTGTAAAGCATAAGCATAAAAAAAATCCCTTTTTATATTTGAATAAGTTCATAGAATATGTTAAGTTAGTATAGGATAGGAAGAACAAATGATTCCATTCGGATAACTTTGGTAGAATTGCTATCTAAACGAAATCAGTAAAAAAAACTCTACCCGACTACAAAATACCTGAACCATTACCGAACTTTCAATATACTCCAAATATGGTATTTATTCATAGATATATATTTATAAAAAGATTTAATTAAAGGAAACATTGTTTGTAGAAAAAAAAAAAGTCAGGCGTGCCCAACAAGGAGATACCCTAAACCTCGTCCAATCTACGCTTTTAAAAGTGTTCACGCTCGCACTTTTTCATTCAAAGAGCATGTTTGTTAAAAAAAAGAAAACAAAAAAAGACAAAAAGACCAGGACAAGATACCAGGACAAAACAAGCCCAACATTTCAACATCCAACACTGCTACTTCATGTTTGTAAAAAATATTCAGAAACGTCGACTGTTTGAACGAAAAGCTGCAGATCTAAATTAAAGTACAAATAACAGTTGAAACACAATTCAATTGCAATTGAGATTCTGCGAATAGAAGATACTTCACGCATTTCAATGTATGTGTGCACACATATACGAAAATACTTAGGCTCTGCTCGCCACTAGCTTCTGCAAATTGTCCAAACATTTTTGTGTTACTTAAAGGCTATACATGTATGTATATGTATGTGCAACTGAACTTTAATTTAAACAATTTGATGAAATTTGCAGCCTGTATTCAAAATATAACAAAATAAAACAATAACCAAGTTGTAAGACTACATTTTGTGAGAAAGCCGGAGCTACACAACACATAACTCCTATATGTTCTGAAATCTACAAGTTAATACTTACGGACGTTTTTAATCCATAACTTAAAACGAGATTAGTTAGCGATTAATTGCAAACAACCTTGAACTACGTGTGCTCTAAAGGGACTAACAGATCATGTTAAGGTTTGTTGTGCAAACTTACAGGCGGATGGACCAACAGACGAACAGGCATTGATCAACTCAGTTCGTCGTTCTGATCAATATGTATATACTTTATAGGATCTGCCACGTCTCTCTCTGCTTGGTACATACATTTTAACAAACCCATTATACCCTAAATTGCCATTTTCAATGGGTTCAGCGTATTAAAAAGTGCACTACCGATCGCATAAAACTTATTCAATGTTCAAAAATCTTTTTCAAAAAGAAAAAAAAATTCTTGTAGAAGCATTAATTTATATCTAAAAACAGTATGAGATGGCATTTAAAGCAAAAATTCGTAAACTGTATAAACTGTATAGGTACTAAGTGCATTTTGCCAGTTTCCACGGGAGGGAATACAAATGTGATTACAATAGCAGAGTCTTATATTTATGAATTAGTGTATGTAATGAAAGTAGTCTTGAAAGTTTTCAAAAGTAGCTCGGCTGTAGCACATGGCTTCTTTTAGTCGTCCATTTCCGACTAAAGTTATTTAACTACCTACTTTAAGTACTATAAGTATTACCATCGTTTGTACCCAGTTGTCTGCGTGGAACAATCAAATTATTTCCGCCTTTTTTGCATACCCGTTTCAAATCGGTAAAACTAACTTTAATGCCATCGGTAAATACGCTTTAAACGTTACAATTAATATTTTAAAAAAAAATCCAACTTTCAATTGGCAAAAACCTATTTGCAATAGACAGATTCTTACCAGGTTTCTGGTTATTAAGTAGTTCATAATTAGTAGAAACATTTATGAATATAAGGAACAATTTAATTTTACTAAGTACATATTTCATAGTCGAGCAGCCTTATCAGGGAATTCTTTTGTATGTTTGTTTTTATGGAAGCTTTCTTATTGATATTTTTATTTTGAAAGTGGCATAGAATTAATTGCAACTGCTTTTATTAAATACGGGGCTAAACTCATTGTTTCATGTTGCAAAAACGAGTACAATGTAGGAGAGATATCAAAAGAAAGAAATATACAATAAGTTTTGTAGGTGTTTTTCATGTTAGCTCAGGGCGAAACGAATATATTTTTAATATTGTATTTAGAGTTGTCGCAAGTACCAGCAAAATGCCGCTACAATCCATCTTAATGTTTTTATGCTCTGAGTTGAAAAAGTTAAGAACAAATATAACCATGTTTTTAATGTTCTTTTGGATCTTGTGGTTTTCACAAATCATTGCCATATCGACAATGTTCATAAGGTAAGGCAATTAGCCAAATACAATAATAATTAAGTTAATCGACTACATTCAGGTCATATATTTACACTAGATCAGGTAGTTCAATAGTTCATGAACGAGCCATACAATTGGGTCGATCATGAACGATTCGTAATCAGTCCGCAGCTGCAAGTTGTAAGTACTAAACTGAACAAATCGAAACGTCCATAACTGAATGCTTAAGTGAGCATGGAGTATCGTTCATGACCTATTGATATATACCTTTTGATCATCTGAATATAATGATCCGTGAAAAAGTTCCCGTGAATTCGCATTTGCTATTTGACATTTCTGTAATATTAATTAGTTGCATTTAATTATGGAAATAAAAACCTATAGTATATTTATGTTTGTTGCAGCTTTCCTGAAATAATTACTGAGCTGCCCACCGTAACGGTGACCGAGCTGCCAGTGGAGCTGGAGCATGTCAAGGAGCAGTTGGATTTGGTTGTGCTGCAAGATGCGCACAGTTCGAGCAATAATACTGAGCAGCAACAGCAAACTGAGGCGCAGGTGGCTCAGAAGGGTAAGTTTGTTTTGCAGTAAAATCAAAAATGCAAGCAAATATTCATAATAATTTATTTTATTAGCTGAACTGAACATAAACGATCCGGGCGGGGGATTGGAATTAAATGCATTCTCCGGCTTCGAATCGAATGCTGTACTGGATGCAAATGTGACTGGCGATGAAGGCATCGCAGATGCTGCGGCAATTGAAAGCAGCAATGTTACGGTGGAGGAAGTGCCGATGCCCGTCTTTTCGGAATGGGCGCAAAAGCAAATCGAGGCAGAAGCAAGCCGCGAACAAGCCATGGAACTAGAGCAGCAGGTTGTAAACACTTCAGCCCAGCGTAAAGACTCTACAGGATCTGGAAGCGGCAAGCCCACGCCGTTAAAGTTACGCGCCAAGAACTATGCCTCGCCGGACTGCGGCGCCAAAATAATTGCTTCGAATGCAGATGCCACAAACACGGGCGCGGTGCTGAGCCACTCAAGTGATGAATACATGCTAAGCACATGCGGCAGCCGAATCTGGTTTGTTGTGGAATTGTGCGAAGCCGTGCAGGCACAAAAGGTTGAGCTGGCGAATTTTGAGCTGTTCAGCTCATCGCCTAAGAACTTTACTGTGGCAGTCTCCAAACGGTTTCCCACTCGTGATTGGAGTAATGTTGGCCGATTTGCGGCAGAGGACAAACGAACAGTGCAAACGTTTGAGCTTCATCCGCATCTGTTTGGCAAGTTTGTGCGCGTGGACATACATTCGCATTACTCCAAGGAACATTTTTGTCCCATTTCGCTTTTTCGTGTATTCGGCACTTCGGAATTTGAGGCCTTCGAGACGGAGATCCGGCACAGCGATGAACTAGATGATTTTGATGATGACTTTGGTGGCCAGGAACAGCAGCACAAGCCATTTACCGGAGCCGACAGTGGAGGTGCAAATATTTTCCAAAGTGCCTCAGATGCAGTCATCCAAATGGTGAAAAAGGCTGCTCAGGTTTTAGTGAAGCCCACTAAAGCGATACGCTGGCCTTCTGATTCGTCGCACTGTTACACACCTATTGTTGGCATGTACAGCTGTCAAAACTGCAATAGCTCTGTCGTAGATCGTATTAACAATTTGCTATCTTGTCAATCCCAGCAGCTGCAGCTGCTGCTTGTGCTGCCCCAGCTGCGCACACATTTATTACAGACTCGCATTTGTCAGTCCGACTATAATATTAACCTGGGCATAGCCAGAGAAGCAGACTCCTTAACAAGTGGTATGGACAAACGCCAGAGTTTTTATCTGAGCATACTGCCAGCGGAACATGTTGGTGCCATGTGCAAACTTTTACAGGCAGACTTCAGTTCCACCAAAGAGAAACCCGTAGATTTCTCTGAGCCTGAACACCAACTTAATGTAACGCATCCTTTATCTGAGAACATGTCCAAAAGTGAACCGTCAAAGGAGTCAGAAGTTGATGTTAAAATTACCGAGCCGAATGATTCAATGCCTGCTCTAACACCACCCTTGAAAGCCGGGTCAGATGACAAGCCCTCGTCCACTGAAGTACCAGCAGTCACTCCGCAGCATGATGCACAAGTGACAGATAACAGTGCAATACCGGGATCACCATCTGATGTGAATATATTCAATGTACCAACTGACAATCCGAAGGACCCATCACAAGCCTCTGTGCCTCTTGACCCAATAGCGACCATTCCTGTATCTCCATCTGCATCACCAGTGGACACCAACGAAATGGAGACAGCCAAGGCCCCTTCATTTACAACGCCAACAGCGACCTCAGCCGAAGCAGACAGTGGAGATTTGTTAGGCAGTGGCAACGGTTTGGATGACGGTAATCTCTCCAATTGGGAGAGCATCGATAACCTACTAACCACAACGGTTGCCTCAATAACTGCGGGAGGTGGAGCAGCTGCAGCTGCAGCAGCTGTAGTCAATGGCAATGCAAATATGGGAAGCTCTTCAAGTACAGGAGCTGCAGGTAGCCAAAACTTACAACCAAAACTAACGCATGGACCGCAGTCGGAGAGCGTATTTATTAGGTTGTCAAATAGAATTAAGGTATGTTCAAATTAACCTTTATATGGCTTATTGAAACAAATTATTTCAAATTTATATACCATTAAGATACTAAAATATAGAGATAGTAAGTATATCTTAAACCCATTAGAAAGTCTAGACAGGGCTTAATGTTTTTGTAGAATTGTAGATAACACACAAAGAAACTGTCGGAGATAACTGACGCTGACGATTAACAACTGACATATAACTTTGTCCGTCGTTCTGCATATATTTCTCTTTATTTGTCTTTATTATAAACACTCTCGACCCCGACCTTTTTCTTGTATACATTGTTTTATAAATTGTATTACACATAGAAAGAATACTGTCTAGATAGCTTTACTTACTATCTTAATACTACCCTCATTGAGATTTTGTGGATCTTACATTTCCCTCCCCTACTCATGTGTGTTAGAATTTCTATTAGAGAATTATTGGAACATTAGGAAAGTATATCGTAGTTAGTCACTCCCAAATGTAACACACTTACACGTACTCAATAAAGAAGGATAGGATAAGCTGTTTTTCCAGATGGACACGTTTAATTATTTTGAAAGCTTTTACAATTTAACACAGACTTAAGTCTTTTGCAGGTGGCTAAGGATATATTTTGTTTAGTTATCAGTATTTTACCCTTGGCCCGTTTAATAAATGTGCGAAAGTGCGTTGAGGCTAAAATGACTGAGCTCTAAGATACCAATGAAGCACGTTCATCAGCTTAGTGAGCATATAATAAATAATAACCGAATAATCAATAAAAACTTTTAAGTAAGTCTCGATAAGTACAAATCATAAAAATTTCATTTTGGAACATGCCCTTTCGCTATTGTGATCAATTTGACTTGTAAAAATTTGAAAATATCCGAAAATAGCCGAATTGAAGTTAAGTAACAATAACTCAAATTATTTTGAGTATAACCAGCTTCTTCTTTACCTCCTAGGTATTTAAAAAGTTCCACTTAAAGTGTATATAAGTAGGGTCTTTGTTGGAAACTGTGGGAGTCCTTGCCAGTTTCCATACCTACCTTAAAGCTGCCTCGCATGTTGTAGACTTATTACGTTTGGGGCTTGTATTGGTTGCCACACCTACATATTACGTTATGTCTAATGTTTTGCACAGGTGGCCTTGTTCATTGCCATTGTTTGTTACATAAACTGCAACAGAAATGATGGCAAAGTCGCCAAGCAGCCAGTAGTTATTTTAAATTTTATCGACTTCTGTACTTTCAGGCGCTCGAACGAAATATGTCACTGTCGGGACAGTATTTAGAGGAGCTATCACGACGTTATAAAAAGCAGGTGGAGGAATTGCAGCAGACTCTTACGCAACAGACGCTTACAGTGCGTACTTTGGAGGATCAGAGCCGGCGGATTCTGGAGCAGGAGCAACTCTATCAGCATCAAAGTGCGGAGCTGGCTGGCGAAGTGCGTGCGCTCACGTATCAAGTGCAAGCTTGCATCCTCGTTATCATCATTGTGGGTACGTGCATATTTCTTATGCTTGTAGTTGGCACTGTCTACTACCGTAAGTTACGACGCCAAACCCAGCAGTTGTTGCCAACGACGGCAGCAATGAAACTGAGTAAGAATAAGCTCTGTCGTCGTAAATCATATGAGGAAATAGTGCAGCATTCGCCTGGTAAGCACCGGAGACCCAGTGAGGAAGCCATGCTAATACTTAACGGCTGTGGAGACACATCGTTAGCGGATCAGTCTGGTATTGGGCACGGTGGCAGGCAACGCAAGATTTCTGTTTGTTATGGCAGCAATAACAATATCACAAACCATATGCTCAGCATGAGAACTTCGTTGCACAGGCGAAAAGGCGCAAAGCATTCATGGCACTCGAACTTAGACTCTGCGCCGGAGTCGTCCATTGAAAATGGAGACAAATTCTTTGATGTGGGTAAGTTGAACAAGAATGTTCTGCCACAATGGCAACTGATACTATGAATTCGTTGCAGACACACTTAAAACCAATAAGATGCCAGCCAAGCCAATCAAAAAGAAGCCGCTTCAAATAACTTCACACGATCTAAGGCGTCAGGAGTCTGCGCCTGCTAATTGTTCACAAGAGTATCTTACTGAGGAGCACACGCAGAGTGACTTTGACGAGAGTCTCATACTGGACGACGATGATCTATGCAATTTCATACCAACCACCGACTTGGCTTATAATGAATTTATGCCCGATGGACCATCAGGCTATCAAATTGTGGATACAGTTGATGGAAAGGCTGATAAGGGGCAGGCGACTAAAAAGTGTCGTCGGGTCTCATCACCAGCGTTCTTCAAGTCACCTTTTACCAAAAGCAAACACAAGGAGAGCAGTCTAAATGGCAGTGGCAGTGCTGTCAAGGCCAGCCACTCGGCGCACGAGGCCACTTCTTGGGAGTGGTATCGCTTAAAGCGCAGTGATAAGCAATCCAATTCGAAGCATTTGACGACAGTGTCAATTGCATCTATTTCGCCCAATGCGAGCATTGACAATTCCTCGTTGTCGGAAGTAAGCTTTCCTTTGAACTCTACACAAAATTCCTTTCGCATACTTGGCGAGGCCATACTATCCTCGGGCGAGGGTAGAGCCAATGGTAAGAGTAGCACTGTTCCCGCCGGTAGCAGCAGTAGCAGCGGCGCAAGTACCACGTCATCCACAACGAAAAAGAAGCAGCGGGCTTTTAATAATATTTTTCGAAAAGTCTTTTGATGTAGTCGTTGTTGACCGGCTATTTATTTATTATTATTCTTTACTTAATTAGTTGTTCCCTAAATTGTGTTCATTTAGGTCTACCTACGGGGCATCAATTCGACGGATGTTATCCACGTAGATATTAAAATTTGGTGTAAATTCAGTCCAATTCTCTAAAATGCCAGTTTAAATGATTCATTTCTGTATCTCTCAAGAGTTCCTTAGTGTTGCAGTATAATGCAAATGACTGTAAAAAAATAATTAGTTATACCTTCAAATGCTTTTAGTTGTAATTATATGCTTGCTTGCTATATATATATATACTAAAAATGGCTAACAAGAATGACTTTCACGAAATACAAGAAACTTAAGAGAATATTCGAAGCCTTTGCTTTTGCCCAGCGTTAATTTAAATATTTAGTTTGTAAACCATAAAGAACACTGCAAATCATTGCAGTATTACTTTGTTATTAGAAATATTATAACAACAAATATATATATTGAAATATATCAATTCTATTTTCATTTAAAGTAAATCAAGATAACATTAATTTATTATAGCACAAAGAGTTTGGTTTTATATTTTCAATTCGCTTAAAAAGTCCGCAACATCGAGCACATCCTTGTCGCTTAATTTTTGAACTTTAACAGCATTGTTGAGGCGACGTCCAGCCGTACCCATGTATTTCTTCCATTGGTCTACAGTTTTGTATCTTTCGTCGTTTGCACAGAACACAATCTCATTGATGTCTTCGTCCAATTTATAACTACAGACGGATGCAAACTGTTTCTGCAGATTCGTTATCGCTTCCTCCCGCAAAGTTTCATCCCGACACACCAGATTTAACATGAACAACCCTGTGGAGCCTATTATCTGTTTTATGTCCATGAGTACCTTAGGGGCGAGAAAACTTAAAGGAGGACAGCTCATGCCCAACGAAAGATCTTTACTATCCACATCGAAAAGCACTGCCCCAAATTGTATGCCTTAAAAAGCAGGAAATTAAGATTACTTTGTATGCATTAAGTCATTATATTACCTTCATTAGAACAGCGTTCCACGAAAGCAAGGCCATCATCGATAACAACGTGCAGGCGATTGTCTTGCTTAAGCTCAAAATATTGCTCAGCTACTTCTAACATTATGGGATCAATTTCAACAGCCGTAATACGTGTTTGACTGAAACATAAATTAGTAGACTGCTAAAAGTAATAAAAAGATTTAAGTGCTTACGGATATGCTGCATGTAGGAAGCTGCACAGACCACCGCCGCCGAGGCCAATGACCAGCACGTCGTTCTGTATATCTTTTTTGGAACACTCCAAAGTTGGGGCAAGCTGCACTCCAACACACATATAAAGATGATGATGGCAAGCCAGGTAGCCAAAATCTATTTTTTTCCGATCCTTTTTTCCTTTGATTTTAACTATAAAATGTTTATCAGTAATACTTTATACTGATTTCACTAAAAAATTCATACCTGTTTTGACTAATGCTTCAGATTGGACAACAAACTGATTCTTAAGAAAGATTAGGCGACGTAATGTTTTGCCATCAACTTCTACTTCTTCAATACGGAAGTCACCAGATAGCTTAGAGAAACCAGAAATTAGTGTCTCCCGCTTCCCTACCTCGGAACCCAATGATAAATATGGAATTTGATCTTTAAGACCAGCAGGCGCAAGATTCGTAATGCTATAAGCCAATTCACTTTTCACCTCCTCAAGCGTATTATAAACTTGATCACGATGCAACGTCACCACGGCTAATCGTTGAAATTTGGCCGATGCCAGTAGTTTTCTACGACCTGCTGTTGTTGCAAAAAGCCACTCTGTTTCACGCCCTTGGGGCACAATAAATGCAGCATATTTGCCAAGCCCGCGAGCGGGCATTTGTTCCAGGACATAGACTGTGTATCGTGACGTTTCCTCCGAAGCTCGATGCAGATCCATGACGACTTCATTATGGCCAGCAATACTAGAACGGGCCAATCCATTGCAAACCAGTGCTGCTTTTTGGACAGATTCCACAGCATTTGCCAGTTCCATTGCGGAATGAAAACGTTGCATTTTGTCGTTGCCAAGTCCAAACTCAAGAATCTGAAAGTAAGTTTTTTTATGAAAAGTGCAAGAAGTAAGACAATTACTTACTAGCATAGGTAAACTCTTGAACTTAGTTGCAATAATGGCAAAGACAGGTAATGTTAGCGATTCCTCTCCATTTCTTTCCCTGTTAGCGCGCTCCACATCCAGACAATGGACAATTCGCAACATGCAATTCTTGCGGGGTAGAAATTCCAAGAGATAATCAACGATATGTTTCTGCAACATAGATATGCCAACGTATCGTCCGCCATTGCTGCAGTTAAAATAGTTTTTTATATATTATCTAATAATTCAATATTTTATAGCATCATACAAAAAAAACTTACCGCATTGTGCGTAATATTTCACTGAAATATTTATCAACAATTTCTTTTGTTTCTTCAGAATCATTTACAAATATAGCATCCAGTGTACCCTTATCCAAAGCCACGGAAAAACTCTCATCGGGAAACGTCATTTCCGTTGCATCCATCTTAATAAACTTCATATCTGGTCGCGTCTTTGCATTCAGATCCATCATTTTTTTCACAGCAACGGGTGAGATGTCAATGTTAGTTATATCTCGAAATCCTGTATCGTACATATCCATGCTAAGCTTTGAATTTCCACAGCCAAGCATTAATATTTTGTCGGCGGGCTTTATATACTTGTGTATTTGGTCGCAAAGTTCTATATACTCGCCATACCTAAAAAAAAGTATAAAATAATTACTAAATACAAAAACCGGCAGATGGTGCATGTGCAGATACCATTTAATACAATGGGTACCATACTTACCATTCAAAAGCTTTTTCACCGCGCTTTTTGAAAAACTCATTCCAATAATCTGTTTGCGCAAATTCCTCTCTCGTTCTTGGTAACAAATTCATTTCAGACCCTATTTAACAAATTGTAGTTTAGAACACGTTCGTATCTAATCACGCATTTGTTTCTACTTGAATGTTATTAAAAAATTTGCTAAATATTACCCAAACAATGTGAGGTCACACAATTTTATGTTTACACCAAAATAAAGTACAATTTGAGGGTCACAGTATTATAATACTATTTTCGAAATTAACAGGTTTCAATAAATGCGTTTTTTAGTAATATATAAATATACATATAATAAACGTGTTGTAAAAGTTGGACGGCAAAGAAAATATGTAATAAATAAGCTGAAAATAAGTAACGAAATGAAAATAAGTGGCAAAACTACTGATTTTTGTTTGTAGTTATCATAAAACATTTTTCTCAAAGTCGTTTTGTTTGCTATGTATATAAAATAAAATAGCAATAAACTTAATTAAGTTTGATAACAATTTGTATTACTTATTTTTTAGCAGCAGATTTCTTTAGTTGACAGCATTTACCATTCTCATGCAGTTTCAAATTTGTCATTCACAGCGATTTGCACAGCTGAAAACTGATTTTTTACTTGCTAAAACTAACTGGCATTTTGTTTGTGTGTGTTTCGTGGTGTTAAATAAATTGATTTAATTAATTTCGTATATGTCTTACATGCTCGTGAAAATTCAATTCATTTCAATTTGTAGATTGTAAACATCATTACAGGTGAAGAGTGTAACAGCATCATAGAAAGGGGAGGCAATCTGATGTTATCGCTGGGTACGAAGTTTGCTACATCTAAGACCGAAACAATGGAAATCAATTGAGGTACGTCAATGTCAACGTCAGTTGCACAGAATATTAGCAGCAACACTTGTCGAGAAGTTCGCAGTGTAAGTGGAAATGTGAAGATCAATCGCAAGTCGGAGACCCAAGAACAGGAACTGTTGGAACTATAGGAGGAACAAATGCGTGCCGCTGGTGGGCTTGTGCAGTCTAATGCAAGTGTGGAGCCAGTTATGTCACGTCTCGATTATGAGCAGAATGCCCTCCATCATAGCTGCTTGCTGGTGCTGCTGCGCGGCGTGGGACCTTCCCGTGCCCGCATTTTGCAACGAGCTTTTGAGAAGGTGCGACGTGTCAATAATATCAAAGTAACGGGTAACTCTTCACTCACATTATATTATTGAATAAAAGTTCGACATTTGAGCATTTCATTTATTCTGTTATAGATTCTAGCGGTACTGTGCGTACCGTTTATTTTCGATTTATTCACGATCATCCCGTGGAGCATAACGATTGGGGTGACTTTCAAACCCATCGTCGCTTGCTCGGCCTTATAACAATAGGAAAGTTTGAAAACCAAACTGAGCTAAATGAGCTATGCCGTCACCATGAATCCCTAAAAGTTAGATATGGTAGCACATTATACGAGTCACGTGCCATATTCTTTGGGCCTGATGCACATTCTACGTCAAATGCAAATCCAAATGCTATAGGCGATGCGCAACCGGCTCTGCAAACAATCGGTGAGAATGACGCTAATACGGATCTAACCGGCAAAGAAAAGATGGCTCAGATTCATGGTCGACTTCAGGATGAGTTTACCACGCCATCCAATTTCAAGTCGCAAGCGTTTTTTTATCGGGAGCAGGATATCGGAATGGATCTTGAAGCTCGTGTGGCTGATTTTTTGAATGCATTGTTTTGGGTGCTGGAGTCGAGGCGTCTTGAACGTTCTCGCGAGAAAGCCGATAAGGTCAGTCTCCTGCTGGCACCCTTCGAGAAACGCGATTTTGTGGGGTTGGATATGGAGTCGCGCAACAACCGCAAACGCTGTGTGGGCCGCGTTATGAAGAACTTGGCAGATCTGTCATTGCAGGCTGGTCTCTTAGATGATGCACTTAGCTTGTATCACAATGCCAATGAAACGTTGCGTTCAGTTGGCGACTCTCTGTGGGTTGGGGCCTGTGAAGAGGGTCTGTGCGCAGCTTCTGCTGTTTTATTGTATCCACAAATGCGGGAAACTGAAACATTTCACAGGAATGCATCTCTACAAGAAACAGGTTAAGATTAAGGCTGTTTTTATTTTTTTTGCTACATTATATCTCATTGAATTATAGGTTCTTCACCGCTACGCAACATGCCGGAGAAGTGGCGTACAAGCGATGCAACGAAGAAAATAAATGCACCAGCAGTAAGCACAGGAACCACGACTGCGGCATCAGCAAACTACGCAGATGCTTTCAACTCGCATTCATCTTCCTGCTCATCGGTGTCATCCATATTGACTAACAATTCCTCTTCATCGGGTACACCCACAACCTCCACATCCTCTTCTTCGACATCGACAATATCGGTAGCGCCACATAGCCAGCGCAATGGCGAGCTACCTGGCAATATAATTAAGCCTGAAGATATAACCAATTATTATAGGAAGGCTATAATAAACTATAGCAAATACCGACATGCAGCAACCATTGAGACAGAGGCAGCTCTGAAAGCTTCGCGCGTATGTATTGAGCAAAATCGACCGCTGGACGTGGCCATGTTTCTGCAAAACATTCTTTACATAAATCTCAGCATGAGTGAATCAGATCGCGTTAAGCGATTTGAAGTTATAACAGAACTATATCAGCAGATCGGTTACCAGCGTAAAGCTGCATTTTTTCAGCGCCTGGCTGCGCTAAAACATGTACAGCAGGGCACTCAGACACCAGACTGGACGCAAAGCTATCGCCTCATGTTAGGCAGCTTTACAGGTTATCTGCTATCCTTGGATCCACTGGAAGTGTTGGAGAATGCTGCTGGTTGGCCAGCATTGCAAATAGATCTGGTGCAAAGTCTTATATCTGCAGCGAGACGTCTTGGATACTCGGCACTGGCTACGCGCCATATGACATTTCTGCTTCAAACGCAATGGGACAATATGTCTGCTGCGGAACAAAGCGAAATGGCTGTACAGCTTCAGGTATGGTTTATAAAGAATAATTGATTATAATTCGAGTAAAATGTAAATTTTTAAATTGATCGAACCATACATAATTTGTGTTGGTTGCTAGCATTGTTTATTATCAAAAGAGCGAAAAGAATATTAAGTTTTTTGACCAAAATTATAATTTATAGTTAGCTTATTAATTATTATCACTATTGTAGAATCTAAGCGCACAGTGTGAAGGCTCGCCTGTACCTTTGGTACTGGACAATGGGACTGTGATACCTCCCGCCAACCTTACCGATTTACCCTACTTGACGCAGTTGGCAGTACGAGACTTACCTGCACACTTGCGCCCACAACGTATTAAAATTGCCAAAGCTGACAGCGGTCCATTTCTATTCACTCCAATTCACTTCAACTCGGTTGATCGCCGCGACAAGAAGAAAGACAAAAGCAAAATAGGCATGCGCAAAATATAATTTATTTATATATATTATCTATTAAATAATTTTTTTTAGATTTTCTTTGGGTGCAAAACGATATTTGCGAGGTATGCTTAACACTTCGCAATCCCTTGCCATTTGAGCTGGCCGTCACTGACATGCGTCTGCTTACAAATGGCGTGGTATTTGAATCGTTGCCCCAGACAGTTGTCTTGAAGCCGCATGTGCTCACACAAGTGTCTCTACATGGAAAACCCATTGAAACTGGACAACTGGATCTGCAGGGTTATAGTACTCATACTTTGGGCATCAAGTCGAACTGTCGGCTGAAGCATATGCGAGGACGTTACTTTCCGCCCAACTATGTAGTGGATGTAATACCTGCCTTGCCAAGCATTACTATCAAAACATCGCTTCCTCAGTCCGCATCGTTTAGCAACATGAATAGTGCGGACCTGGTGGTTACATCTGCAAGTCTGACCCTTTACAACGGAGAGTCCTCTAGTTGCATTATTACTATAAGGAATGAGAGCAATACATTACCGGTCGAGCATCTCGAAGTAAACATTAATTCAAATGTGGAGCAAGAAACACAAAAAAAAATGTTTCGAATTGATGAACAGGCACTGCTGGTAAAACATTCTACATAGTATTTGTTCAATGATTTTTGATAACAGCAACTCCGTTTCAGGCGCAGCTACCCGTACCTCCGTTAAGTACTATTGAATTCGAACTCCTTATATATGCTGACGCCGATTTTGTATGCCCTATACCAACGGACCTTATAAATTCATTCGGCCCCGGGGCTTCTCAAGAATATGGAACGTCTTCGCTATCGCAGTATTCTAATGTTACAGGTCAATCTGCTAGTCTACCATTGCGTGTTAGTTCACCGCAACATCGACGACAAGATAATATAAGTGTTCATTCAAAAGTGTCCGGGACTCAGCATTTGATAAGCACTTTACCCCTACATCCGGACGGACCAGGGGCTTCGTTCAATAGTGGATCGAATGTACATTCTGCACAGAACAGCCAACATGTGGAGGCTCAATTGCGCTTTAAGTACTCCGGCGGGCAGGCGTTGGTTGAAGGCTTTTGTCGTCAGTGCGCGGTGTCTTTTAACCTTGAGCTACTTCCTAGTACCCTGATAACAAGCTGGGATGTTTTACCCGCTGAAATGTACATAAGTAAACGGAATTTGCATTTATGATTGTGGTATTAATCTTTAACGTAATTTCAGCCCTTCACAGTTCTACTTAGTTTTAGACATATCTAACCTTACCGCTCAAGAAATGTCGCTCAACTACACTGATAACAAGAATATTCTCATAGAAGCCAATGAAAGTTGTCGAGTACCTATCCCGGTTGACCGCTGCTCATTGGAGCAAATATGTGACGCACGTGCAGCGGAAGTTGCTGAAAATCTTGAACGCGGTATGTTACTATTAAGTTTATGTGTGCATTCAATGAACCTATTTTCCCAAACACAGAGCTGTGTTTTCGCACGCAAATTCTTTCCTTTAGCGATGCACTAAGCAAGCTTTGCTCAACTCATATAGCAGACCGTGTGAAAATTAATTGGCTGCTAACGGGCACTGACATAAAAGGGATTGCATCGCTACGCGGGATTTTTCTATCGCATAGTATGGTCAATCTGACCACTATCGCCCCTCTTCAATGGGGTGAGTTACAATATGGTTTTATAAGAATTTTATCCAATGTGTTTTCATTTATTTAATTTTTTTTTAAGGTATAAGCTTTCAGGATACGGTAGTGCAGCCACATAGCGAGTTAATTTGCACTATTGGTCAGAGTGCGAAGCTCACAATTAATCTCACAAATCAATCATTACATCCACTTAAGAATTTGGTATTAACTATAAAATTTTATCAAGACTACTTAAATGGGATAGAAAACTACAATCTTGAGACGCGCGTTGCAATATCTGGACCTAACCGGTACGACATACTTACCGTTTTACATAAATAAGCACAAAATAATATTTATGCATATATTTGCAGAATTACAATCCCTATTTTGGAGAAGTACGAGCAATCGCAGCATAATTGCTCTGTGATATTTTTTACGCCTGGTCGCTTCAAGGCCAGCGTTGAGTGCGCCACTAGACCCCAAAAAAGTAGTAGTATTTTGACACGCTCATGTCCAGAAGCTCCCAATTTGAGTCAATTAGAAAAAAAGTCATCATCACCAGCCAATTCAAACACTATTTCGGCTTCTGGCCTTGACGAGCATCAGGCGCATATATGGAAATTTATACCACCTATTGAGGTGACTGTTGTAGAGCCGTGATTGAGTAAATTGTTAATAATATGTAGTTAATTTTTGTTACATCTGTAATTCTATTTGTATTTATTTTCATATCACGTATACGTATATGATACCGCTGTTAATATGTGTAAACACAAATAGCTTACTGTTACTGTAATATGAAAAGCAATTGTTTTGAAATGAATAAGCATCATGTGTATATATCACAATATATATATATATATTTAAGCTCAAACTACGCTTTAAACTTTACAGCTAGAATGCCATAATATATGTAAATACCATGCTCTATATAGGCTATATATATATATGATACCGCTGTTAATATATATATATATATATATATATATCCTTCAAACAACAAAAATGAAATATTGTTAGCTAGATAATATTTCGCTTACTAAACTCTCGAGCTGAGATCTGCAACCACAACAAAAAATTTGATACATGTATGTATTTACAATATTTTTATACAATAAATAAATGCAAGTTACAACACAATATTTTTAAAATTAGTACAAAAGTAATACAATAAGAACACAAGCGAATAAAATAATAGTTGGCAGATTTTTTTCTTAGCCCAATCGACGAATATCGTCCATTGTGTAGCCCGTTCGATGCATTAAAATACACAGTAGAATATACAGATAGTATCCCCCAGGAATTATAGTCAATGCGCCTATGATTGTTAGTGCTCCTATGCGATCTGACCGATCCTGATTTGCGTCCGCTAACCAACTTAAGGTTGCACAGCAAATACATACAGTTCCGCCGACGAACAATACAAGAATGATTGCAATCGTCTTCCAAGGTGTTGCGTCTTCCACATTCGGCGCTACCCATTGTTCGTTCACAAAACCATCTGTCTCGGTGGTGTCGGTGCTAGCATTGCTGTAATCAGCAGTAGCAGTACCAGTTGCATTCAAGCGTCGACGTGAATCCGATTTGTTTTGTATCATATTTGGAAACTTACGAGGTTCCACTAAATCATGCAGAGTGCCATCGATTTGATCAGAATCTTGTTCCCCTTAGACAGTTTTCAGAAGTGCATCAAACATTAATGCCAAATTGAGTAGACATTAAAAACCAGCTGATGTCATTGAGTTGTATTTAACAATTGATGTTTAGTATTTTACATAATGCCGCAAAATTTATATACAACTTTATATTTTTTTCTTAAATAAAGAAATACATCTTTTATAAAAATATAAATTATGTATTTTAATATTCGTAATTCAACTCTTTTTTTTAATTCCACATTATCCAATTACTTTTGGTATTTTACTTATCGACTTTGAACTCTTGTAGAGGAAAATCGTTGCGGCGTTGCCACCTTCTACACTGAATGTACAGTGTGCAAATAAACTCTTTAAACGTAAAAAGGGGAGTACACCAATAGAGCAGCCAACGCAATCAAATAGAAATAATTTTGTATCTTTAAAATTAGGCGATCCTTTATTTTTATTTCATATTCACTTCGAATTACATGAATTTGACTTCAAATAAAAATATATCCTTTCGCAGGCTTGGAATCGGTTCTTCTTTTCTGGTTGTCCGTCGTCAATATACTCAAAGATCAGCAGTATTTCACATCATTAACAGCGGATAGCTGAATTTGATGAAATTTCCTAAAATATGAAATGTAAAAAATTCTTAAACAATGTAAAAACTGAAAAACTTTAAAACTTGTAAAAATTGCTCTGTTCCAGTTTAATAAGCAACAAGAACGCACGACTCTGGAGTACAAGATTAAGAGATAAACTGAGCCCCGTTTTTAAAAAGAAAGCTATATATATATATATATATATATATATATATATATATATATATATATATATATATATATATATATATATATATATATCCTGGTGAGCTCAGGTTTAGTGTGTAAGGATTTGTAATGCATCGTAATTTGATTACCTCGCCACCTTCCCCCAAAAAATATGAAGAAAAAATGTATATTAAATGATAGCAAATACGCTCATATAAATGTCATTGTCACACTCTAGATTTTATTAGGAAAGGCCATCTAGTAGAAATATCATTCAGCAATTAAGTTCCTATAGTAATGTTTGTTGTGCAGTTCAAGCGTCTCCGCTGCGTAAATTGCGCAGAGGGCAAAGCGCGTGCTAATGCGTGCCTGCGTGTGTAGGTGTATGTGTTCTTTGCTATGCATGTGTAAAAGAAGCGTGGACTGGTTGTGGTTTCAGTCCTCACAGGTTTCATCATTACTCCTAGTTGGAGTAATGCTCTTTACATTTACTGCATATGGTTATAACTAGTATCGGATTTCAAGTCCTAGCTTTTGTGGATTACGAGATCTCAGGATTCACATGAGCGGACAGACGGACATGGCTAGATCGACTTTACATCGTCGTTTGCCTCTTACATAAATATAAACAAATTACACCCATTTTCAATAATACACTAGCTGTTCCTTTCAAAGTTATCATCATATTAAAGGCAAAAGTTTATTAAGAAAATATTCTTACATGGCTTCAAAGCATCTGTCATCTGGGAATGAATTCGCTCCTCTAAGTGTATAAGTGTATTTCCATTTGAACAACAAAAAAGTTTCTGAAAGAAAAATATACTACATGTTAAGTTAATGGTCATAATTTGTAAAAGATCAACTTCAAGATTAGCCCAATGCTGAATCAGTTTAATACAATTGATAAATCTTTCATAGACATCAGATGTCCCTATCAAAGTTGTCATCATTTTAGTAGGAAACAAACCATATATTTAATACAAAATATTCTTACACATATTTCAAGGTTGATTAGGCATCCTGTAATAGCTGTGTCGCATTCATCAGGTACTTAAAATCAAGTCGTGCTCTTAGTTAGATTTCAAAGCATCTAGCATCTGGTCTCGTAATGAATTCCCTCTTATAATTATTAAACTCTTCCCATTGTGGACAACAAAAGTTTCTGTAAAAATAATATACATTTTAAATGAATGGTCATAATTGCAAAAAGATAAGAAACTATAAGATCAGCCTTTTGCTTAATCAGTTTAATAAAAATTGATAAATCTTTCATAGACATCAGATGTCCCTATCAAAGTTGTCATCATTTTAGTAGGAAACAAACTATATATTTAATACAAAATATTCTTACACATATTTCAGGGTTGATTGGGCATCTTGTAATAGCTGTGTCGCTTTCATCAAGTACAAATTGTGTTCTTTCTTACTTGGATTTCAGCGCATCTAGCATCTGGTCTTCCCATTTTGTACAACGAAAGTTCCTGTAAAAAAATATACATTTTAAGTTATTTTGAAAAAGATAAACTTCAAGAATAGCCTAATGCTGAATCAGTTTAATAAAAATTGATAAATCTTTCATAGAAATCAGATGTCCCTATCAAAGTTATCATCATTTTAGTGGGAAAAAACCATATGTTTAATACAAAATATTCTTACACATATTTCAGAGTTGATTGTGCATCTTGTAATAGCTGTGTCGCTTTCATCAAGTACTTGAACTTAAATTGTGTTCTTTCTTACTTGGATCTCAGCGCATTTAGCATCTGGTCTTCCCATTTTGTACAACAAAAGTTCCTGTAAAAAAAATATACAACATTTTAAGTTAATGGTCATAATTTGAAAAAGGTAAGCTTCAAGATTAGCCTAATACTGAATCAGTTTAATAAAAATTGATAAATCTTTCATAGACATCAGATGTCCCTATCAAAGTTGTCATCATTTTAGTGGGAAACAAACCACATGTTTAATACAAAATATTCTTACACATAATTCAAGGTTGATTAAGCATCATGGAATATGATGTAGTCTTCATCAGGTACTTGAACTCAAGTCGTGGTCTCTCTCTGAAGTCATACCAAGTAGGCTGCGTTGTTAAAATACACATCTGAGAAAGTTAGTTGGAGAGAAAATGCATTAATAGTTTATTATATATAACGCAACGTAACGTAACAATTTGAATAATTTATTATATACGTTTAGTTCTCTGAAATCTTGTTGCAAATATCACAAACTTTTTCAACGTTTTACTTTTCAATTCCAATGCCGTTCTGACTGACTTTCCTTCCACGTGGTATCAACTACACATTTTAAGAGTGCTAATTTTAGTACATTTAAAAATACCATAGTATGCAGAATTATTTCCGTCATTTTTAGCTCAAAAATTTGCACTTGGGTTTGTTGCTATTGACTAACATTTTATGTTTTATTATATAAATAGAAATTGCTACTTGGACAATGCAGTTCATATAATTTTTGTTTTATAGTATCCGTACATTTTAAATTGCTTTCATTGCTTTCAGATACATAATTTATCTGTGATCATACACAATTCAGTCCATGCTCACCATTTTTTTAACTGCGTTATCGCTAGATCAACTGTAAACCTAACAAAACAAACAATACATACATAAACTTATTACTATTTTTTTATATCTCTTCTGTGCCAGGATTGACTTCCTGGGACGCGGCCAGTTCGTGTTCCTGCTGTTCCTGTTGCTGCTGTTGTAACTTTAGGCGCTTCTTGGCCTGAATATCAGCCAGAGTCTGCTCGATGGAACGCATATCCTTTTTGTTCTTACTGGGTACAAAGCCGTAGCTTTGGTTTGTTTCTGTTTTTCGGGCCGCTTGTAGAGCTGCAGATTCGCCGATTAGGTGGGCATATTTCGCCTTATAATTAGTGGTCGGTTTCACCTCAATGCTTGCGAGATATGTGCTGTTGCTGCTGCTGCAACGGGCTGTACTGGTGCCCGCTTCAGTTGTGACTTCCCTATCGATCAGGTTTTGCTCCTGGGCTAAACGTTCTTTTCGTCGGTCAGAATATTCTTTGGCTATCTCCTTGTTCCAGCCTTCACCGTTGCGACGTGCTGTTACTTCGTCCTCGCTTGGTGGGTGTTCCTTTTTGTAGACTACAGAGTGACGGTCCTCTTCCTCTCGCCCAAAGCTCATGGCAATGAAACCGCCATTCTCAGCTATTTCATGTATGACTGAGCGATGCACTTTGTCCAACGGTTGAAACTCAATGTATGTCCGATCGTCCTTGGCAAAGCGACCCATCCTCTCCTCGACATATTTTCGAAATCGCAGTAGCTCTTCCTTTTGCTTGTTTTGCATGCGCTCCACCATTTCGCGCTGTTTTTTGATAATGGTCTTTTGTTGTTCATTTGTTGTTGGCGGAGCATCCATTGAGTTAAGTATTGAGTCAAGCAAATCCATTTTGTCGCTGCGATATTTACTGAGTGTGCATACCCGCTGAACTCAAATAATGTTTATTGTATTAAGCACACAAGGTCGTCTATTAGATGTTGCTAATTTATTGAATTAAAGGCAACATTTGTGTTATATTTATATTTTCATATGTATTGTATAAAAAGATTACCGGTGCATCTGCACCAAAATACCAGATTATTCATGCCTGAATACTGAATACCAATAAGTATTTTTTTTAGCAGCGTGCAACCTAATATAGAACATTAAAGTTGGTATTTCTTATAATCTGTAAGAAAGTTGGCAGTTCACCTAAAGAGGCGGGTTATGCCCCTTCTCTTATTGAAAATCAAAAGCTTGTTGAAAACGGAACAAATAGCCATTCAATTGAGGATATATGGCTGCCGAGCGTCGAACACTTGTACATTGGTTTCGCAAGGGACTCCGTGTTCACGACAATCCCGCGCTAATGCAAATTTTTAATAAAGCTCGAGCGTCACCCGATAAGTTTTATGTCCGACCTATATTTGTATTGGATCCAGGTATTTTAGATTGGATGCAAGTAGGAGCCAACCGTTGGCGTTTTCTCCAACAAATTCTAGTCGACTTAGACCAAAACTTAAAAGAACTTAATTCGCGATTATTTGTTATTCGCGGTAAACCCGTTGATATATTTCCGAACTTATTCGACCGCTGGCACGTTGAGCTGTTGACATATGAAACAGACATTGAGCCATACGCTGTAAAACGTGATGTAGCGGTCCAAAATATAGCAGCAGCTCATGGAGTTACTGTGGATACCCATTGCTCACACACCATATACAATCCCGAAGTAGTTATAGCTAAAAATTTAGGCCGCGCGCCTGTCACGTATCAGAAATTTCTAAGTGTGGTAGAAAAGTTAAAGTTACCCAAGGTTTTAGATAAACCTGAACGACTGCCTAAAGGAACGCAGCCAATAGCTGATGAATTTGAAGCAGCAGAGCCTGATGTGTACGACTGTCCAACGTTAGATCAGTTGGTCAAACGACCCCAGGAGTTGGGCATTAACAAGTTTCCTGGCGGTAAGCAAAGCAGAGGAAAAATACATCTTATATATTATATATTAGTGATCTTTAACTATACATAAAACCTTTAATAAACAGGTGAAACAGAGGCTTTGCGTCGGCTAGAAAAATCACTTAGTGATGAACATTGGGTAGCTAGTTTTGAGAAGCCGAATACAGCACCAAACTCGCTGGAGCCAAGCACAACGGTGCTAAGTCCATATTTGAAGTTTGGTTGCCTTAGCGCCCGGTTGGTGCACCAACGACTGCAAGAGATACTAAAACGGCATCCAAAGCACTCAAAGCCACCCGTTTCACTGGTGGGTCAGATACTGTGGCGAGAATTTTATTATACGGTTGCTGCGGCTGAATCCAATTTCGATCGCATGCTGGGAAACATTTACTGTCTGCAAATACCCTGGCAAGAGCGGCCCGATCATCTGGATGCATGGGCCCATGGGCGTACTGGCTATCCCTTTATCGATGCCATTATGCGACAGCTGCGCCAAGAAGGCTGGATCCATCACTTGGCACGTCACGCAGTCGCTTGTTTCTTGACGCGTGGAGATTTGTGGATTAGCTGGGAGGATGGTCAACGCGTCTTTGAGCAGCTGCTGCTTGATCAGGACTGGGCACTGAATGCAGGCAATTGGATGTGGCTTTCGGCCTCCGCGTTCTTTCATCAATATTTTCGTGTGTACAGCCCCGTTGCGTTCGGAAAGAAAACTGATCGCACAGGCGCCTACATAAGGAAATACGTGCCTGAACTGGCTAAATACCCAGCAGCCTGTATTTATGAACCATGGAAGGCAACTCTTGCGGACCAGCGGGATTTTGGTTGTGTGCTGGGCGTAGATTATCCGCATCGAATTGTCAATCACGACATCGTGCACAAGGAGAACATAAAACGCATGAGCGCCGCCTACAAAGTAAATCGTGAAATGCGAACGGGCAAAACGGAAGATGAAATAGACAGCGATTCGTCGTTGCCAATGACTACTGGAAAGCGCAAGGCAAGCTTCGAAACTAAAAGATCAAATATCAAACGAAAACGATAAATTGAAATTACAATCAAATCTCGGATGTTGAAACTATTACGGAACTATTTTTATACTTTGTATATGGAAACTAATTAGGAATGGTTAAATTTATATACTCATTCACGAACTGAAATAGTTTTGTGCAATGTCCGTCCGTCTTTCTGTGTGAAGGCAAACCATTTCGCTGTTCTCGAAGACAGAGACTTAAAATTTGTATGTTTAATCGTGAGTGCAACAACCATTTAAAAGATAGAGATTATATATCTATATCTACGGGGTAAAAGTCAAAAATGTGTGTATATTAAAGCTTGAGAGCTCGATAACTGAGTTATTGTTGACCTCATCTTTGGGGAAATGGCATATCGACAATGCATTTTCTCTACTTTTTAAGCCTTAGCTCTAGGCTCTTAAGGATTGGCCAAAAAATGATATATCTACGCTTAATGGCGTCGTGGCAAATCTACCGTTTTGCAGTTAGAAACTTAACATTTGCCTTCCTGCAAAATGTTCACTTGTTATAACTAGAAACATTACGTGAAGGCAGTATTGCGATTGTTGGTTTAATCTATATATTTACATTACTTGCATAATAATGTATTAGCTTTACGTTACCTTTGTGATTATGGAAACATTTAGTTCTAATTGAAAAAAGATATGAACACTTATTTTTAACTAACATCTTTAGTTGTAAGTGTTGTTCAAATATATATAGATATATAGATAAGATAAAAAACCATGTACAAATTATATAATAAATGTATTTTGAAGTGATACGCGTTAAAAAAATTGAGACTTAATTATACGTCCGTCTGGCAGGAAATCTTAAACATATAATATATTTTCGACGGGTAAAGAAAATATCTTTCACATTTCAATATTATAGAGAATACTACCAATGGTTAGATGTATATTAACTTGAAACAATTTCGAAATAACCAACTGTATCTTAAGCTTCAGTTCCTTTGTCAATCAAAGTAGTCGATGAATTCGAATTTCTGTTTTCAGATGCCAGCTGGACGGAATAATCATATAAGTCATTACTTTCGGCATAACATAAGCTCGGACTTCCGTAAAAAAAAATTATATTCTTATAATTCATTTAATTCCAGTTCAGTCGTGTGAAAATAATTGGATTTAAAATGTTTCGAAATCTTTGCATGCTTCGCAGAAGCATCCTCATGTCCAGAACTGTTTGTGCGACTTATAATTGCCCAATTAGAGCCAATTTTTTCAATAATGCAAAGTCTCTATCGAAAAGCGTAGATTCGCCCAACGGAAGTGACATTTCGGTTTCGGACATAAATATATGCGACATGGCCAGGGGAGATGTGGAATTTGCTCGTAATTTTCTAACCTCGGTGCCGACACTCAACGGCGCCATGTCAGCCGTATCAATTGCAACAAATTCATTTAGCTCGGAACCGGCTGTCGGTACGGATTCGAAAATACAACCAGAAGTCGATTCAGGATCTGGCGATGCTAGCATCGGCAGCTCTGAGACTACTATTCTGGACAAGGACGGAATGCCGATTGTGCCCATAGAGATCGACGGTTGGAACAACGCTGCCGATGACGAGGAAGGACCAACTGTTCAAAATGCCTCGCATTTGGAAATTGGCAACGACAACGAATACAAAACTGAAAACTTGCTGGTGGTGCCCGAGAAACGAGAGGGTAGTTTCGAATACAAGGGCATTAAAGTTAAGCTTCCCGTAAGAGCCCACAAGGATGTTGGCACTTATCGCTTTCGACGTGACGCAGAGGACTTGGAGACCGTTGGGGATGATATGCGTTTGGTCAAATTTGATAAGAAGTAATTCTATGTCAAGGACCTTACTTTATTTATGTCGCATAAAAATTGTTCTCGGAATTTTTCTAGTAAGTTTTCAATCTTGAATCTTATTTTTGATTCTGCGCTCAATTTTTTGTCTGGTGTTTGTTAAATTAAATGCGATTTTTGTGTGATTTTTAGTATTTGTGTATTGATCTTCGGAGTATATGGTATTAATTAAGGATTCCTAACTTATAATACACTAATACTTATAATACGACAATGTAAATAGGCCGAGTTCTTAAGACCTATATATACTAATGTAGATTTATTATCCGGGCTTTGTGCTAACCAGATTAAGAATCATTTTTAAGTGTGTGGCACGTGACTCTAATGTTCGTGAATACAAAAACATTACGTCACGAACGTGAAACTTGATGAAGGTATTGCCGCATATTCTCTAACAGAAAAATAAGTTCATACATTCATACATACATACATACAAAAGTGAAATAGTGCTTTTGTTTGAAGCATTTCAAATATATTTTCGCTATTTTTCAACAGTATACAATATTTAAAAAAAAAATACAATACAAAATACATAATTCTGAAATGACATTTCCTTGAGGAGTGCGATCAGCAACGCTATTGCAGTCCATATTACAGCCAAGAGATAGCTGACAGTTGACGAGATCAAAGAAGACATGTAAAATATAAGCCTCAACACGCAAATTACTGATAAAATAAGCTAAAAGAGGAACAGTCCTGATATTACATCAAAGAGCAAGATCAAGCAGCATCGCAGCTTTGAGAATATGGAGTAAACGGCGACTCTAGAGCTTTGAAACGGCAATATTATGTGACGCTGGAGCCTTGTAACGGCAGTATTAGACGACGCTGGAGCTTTACCGCTGCCAGCACCAACGCCAACTACTTTTAGACCTACCTTAGATGCTGGAGTGTTAATTTTAAGTTTGAATCGAGTAAAATCAAATCAAACTTTTCGTTAACTTATATTTCGTTAACTTAAATAATAATTGGAAAATTCCTCTCACGCATTGACATGCCTATTTGATGACAACGTGCAGCAAATCAAGCAAAAAAGTTTTGATACCACACTGAGTCAAGTTGAGTTGAGTCAAATCGCTTCGATGTATTTCAGGCGTTGCCTTGACTGGGTATAAGGCATACATATATTGTCAGAGATATGCTGTCTGCTTTGTAGAGTCCTAAATTTTTGTCATGCCCGGGCACATTACAGTAGCGACTCGTTCAGCAATCTTCTATTCCACTTCAAATTCAGGTAGCAGAACGGCAAAGTGTGATGATGATGGTGTGAGAGAGGGAGAGAGGGAGAAAAGGAGATGCCGATTTGTAAATTTGCTTTCGTTGCTCGTGTCTCGTGTCGTCAGTTTCCAAATTTGAATTGAACCTCTGCCACATCTTTGATTCATGATAACTGAGTTGGCAATTAGCCGAAATTATTTTGAAGATACAGCTGCATATAAGTTAATTTTATTATTATTTAAATTGAATTTCTTTAAATAAAATTACGATTTATTTATTTGAACCGCTTTATTTAGATTCTTGTTTGGGACTGAAGTTGACAAAGCTTATTCTTCTAATTCGTTGCTCAAGTTGTTCAAGTGGCTGGTGTAAATGCAGAAATGCATAGTAGGATGTTTTTGTAAGCATTTCAGGATAATTGGTGGCGGATGCTTTCCAGACGACACAGTTGCAAAGTTGCAATTTGATTATTGTTAACTCTTCCCGCGTAAATCCAAGCTTGTCCTCAAGCGACTTAAAAGAACGGTATGTTATTGAATTGAAGTGGAGGGATTTGATTTTTGATATTGTTTTTAGTAGTGGGGGAGGCTGGCTGCAATATGATTTTTTCTTCTTTGCCTTTATGCAAGTAGAGTACAAAGGCGACTATTACCACAATGCAGAGGGCGATGACTGCTGCAGCTCCATAGGTTTCTATTTGTAGTTGTTCGATTTCTTGTGTGTTGTTTATGTGAAGAGTTTGAAGAGCCTCTAGGGAGAGTATCTTCAGTCGCTTTGTTTCTTCGGGGGTGATTTGGATTATCGGGGCTCCCGGCTTCAACAGAGTGTTTTCGATGTTGCTGAAACTCCTGTCATTGACGTCGATGGTCTCGTTCCAGAAGTTTATCAAGTAGGTGCCTCTGAGCTTCGTGGTGTTATTTTGTCGCGATATGGTTCCGTTGAAGTTTAGTAGTAGGATGAGTCCGCTGTTAATTACTGCATTGATCTTGTCTCTAAGACTTATGATCTCATTCTTATTACAATCTTTTATAAAGCCATAATATTGTGTTTTACTTAGCAGTATTTCTTTAAAATCTATATTGACAATTAGGTTATTTTTAATTACAGGTTTTATTATGATATCTTCGTAGTTAGTTTCTTCTAAATTTGGTATTTTTATTACACACAATAAAATTGTTTTGTTGTGCAAAATTGAAACATCGGCAAATTCTAACATTTCTTCTATTGAGAGTTGGGGCATTTTCCCTGCTTTAAAGATTCTATTTGTCTCTTGTGGTTCGTTATCTCTTAACAAGAATGAATTTATGATATTAACCTTGGCCCATTGAATTGCATATTTTATGTTAGCAACTTCTTCTTTGATAAGTCTGACCTGGTTTTGAATGTTAATCCAATCTATCTTTCTTTATTGTATTTGTTAAACTATTTGTGACGGTTGTTAATTTATTTAATCTGGCCTCTAACTGTGTATTTATAATTATTTGTTTGTTATTGTTTGTAGTTAGCTTATTGAGATATTCTGCTATTTGTACGAAATCGTCATGGTCTGGGCTTCCGGCAATATATTTCCAGGCTGTTCCTATAAGATTAATAGATCTAGTGGTTCGTCTATTTATGGAAGAGTTTATCAATGAGAGTATGGAGTTTGTTTGGTTAATTTCGTGATCTATGGTGTGATGAAATGTACTGTGTTTCAGTGATTGTTCGGTCTGAAAAGGAAGTATGTCCAGTGTTTCTTCTATTTTCTTAATGTCAATTACAGGAATAATTCTAGCAGTGGTTGTTTGAATTTTCCTCAGACCTTTGTAGATTGTGATGGTCTGTGCGTCCGTATAGTTCGTTATGGCGAGCTCTCCGCTTGTTGTGTTTATAAGCCATGTCAGAAGTAGACGGTAATTATACGTTTTTATACCCTGATCCCATTAAAAATGGGAAATCAGGGTATAATGGTTTTGTGCAAATGTATGTAACAGCCGAGTCGATTGAGCCCTGTCCGTTTTTCTTTTTTTTTTTTTGAATACTCGATACAAGCTACGGAAAATTTAAAAAAAAACTCAGACGACTGGGATCAGGGTATCTCCTAGTCGGGCACCCCGACTAGAGCTTTCTTGTTGATATTACTTTTGTGAACTGTTTTGTTTGCTTGGGTAATAACGGTTGTACCATGGTCTAGTTTTACTACTTCCTTTTTGAATCTTGATGAAAGTTTTGATCCTAATCTATTGTTTATTTTTACGAAAATCGTGTCACCTGGCTTATATGTTTTTAAAGGTAGTCTGTCTTTGTTGTGGTGTTGTAGGTCTTGTTCTTCTTTTTGTTTCAGTCGAGTTATGTTATCCAGTCTGGTCGTTTCGTATTGCTCTGGGGTCGTAGTCACAGTTCTGCCAAAGAATACTTCTAAAGGTCGTCTATTAGTGACAGAGTGGAAAGTATAGTTGTATTCCTACACGGCTCTGTCTAGGAGTCTTCGAAGTTTCGATGAACATTGGATCTCTTTAGAACTCTCATTATTTCGGATAAGGTAGAGTGAAATCTTTCTATTTGGCTTTGTAAATTTCGATACCGAGCTGATCTCTGAGCATAAAAGTGATGGATGCGGCATTCAGTGATTTTTCATCATCCATTACTATAAATTTTGGAACGCCGAAATAGAATTTTATGTTTCTTGAGGGTAGTCTGATATCTTCTATTGATTTTGATTTTATGTTTACAGCTTGTGCCACTTTTGAAAATTTGTCTATTGCTGTCAAACTAACTTCCCTTCTGTAGAGTAGATGTCAACGTGAATAATGTGTCCGGGGTATTCTAGAATTGGGGTTTCTTTGATTTGGGGATTGGTTGGATGCCTATTGTATTTTTCCTCTTTGCAGATTTGACATTGTTTTAGAATGGGAGCTATTTTGCTTTTCATTTTAGGGAAATAAAATTTAGAATAAATTTAGAAGGGCTCTTTTATGTACTTTTAGGATTTCTTCACCCTGATCTGACTCTTTGATAAGATCTGTAACTCTAATTTGGGTAAATCTTATTTTATAGCTTTTGAAATGTTGTGGATAAAATGTTCGAATTCGTCCCATTATGTCTTCTGTTGTTAATATGCCGTTGACGATTGAAGGGTTTAAATGTTTTTTTAGTATTCCTATCAATTCGTCATCGGAGTATGATTTTCTTGAAAAGGTGTGTCTATGAAAACACTGAAAGGGTATTTCAAATCGGAGACTGAAAGAATTATTTGATTTCTAAATGAATTGATTGGAGCCTCGACACTTGGGATTAGGTAATGTGGGGAGCTATTAGCACTATGTGCTGTACAAATTACTGAGTTTATTCGGTTTGGCGTAATTCTGGAGAGTGTTTCTGCGATTATGTTATCTTTCCCTGGTTTGTAGATAAGTTGGTAATCATATTCTTAGAGGAGGGCTTTCCACCTTTTAATCCTAGCGTTGCCATTCCAATTGCTTAGTGAATGTGTTAGAGGTTGGCGATCAGTATACATTTTTACCTTTGCTCTACCGTAAAGGTAGTTACGTAGGGACTTAATAGCCCAAATAATTGCTAGCATTTCTTTTTCATTTGTGGCGTAGTTTTCTTCTGCTTTTGATAAGGTTCTTGAGAGGAAAGTGATAGGATTATTATTTTGACAAAGTACAGCGCCAATAGCGAAATTAGATGCGTCTGTAGTTAGCTGGAATTCTTTGTTGAATTGGGATTAATAAATTTCTTAGTTTACGCAATGCTTCTAAAGATTCTTTGTCTATGCTTATTGGTTTTATGGCAGACATATGTTTCGAGATTCTTCCATCTTCTACTCTAAGTAGAGTTGTTAGTGGTTTTGCCAATTTGGCATAATCTCTGATAAATCGTCTGTAGTAGCCGGATAAACCTTAAAAAAGATCTGAGCTCTTTTAAGGTT